GAGGACGGCACAGCCCGTGGCGGCCCAAGAAAGCACGGCACGGCTCGCCTTTAGGGCGAGCCGCGCATGGCTTTACACCTCTAGGAGAAGAAGAAGAAAGCAGTACCGGCGGATGTGATTGTTGCCATGTTCATCGTTCGTTGTTGCAGCACTTTCCCTAAGAAGAAGCATCGCCAACGGCTATCGCAATATTCATTATCACCGTCGTTGCAACATCGTTTATCATTTTCTTACATCTTTCTAAATTTCTCTTAGATTCCAATAGTATTTATTTCATTGATATGTCTCAAATTTCAAATACCAGGTCGATGTCTCATCTCACATCTCTTGCATCGATTTTTTGATATCTTTACTTGCAATTATTTTGCTATTATAACCTAAAAAGAAACACATGAAACTCAAACATTACCGAATAGAATAAACTCATTTTCCTCAACGAAAGCACTCCTATTAAATCATCAATCAACAGTACCGGAAGCAATGCATGATGTACGAAAGCTTCTTCTCGTCAACAAATTTGGAAAACAGCAAGGACATCCATACACATGATGAATTTACAATAGTAGTCTTCACCATTAAACAAACCAACAATCCATGCATGCATATCATTACCAATTACATGCCAAAAAGATTGATAAAAAAGTGCAGACATACGTACCATGTGGGCCTGGGGCTTTTTACGAGCCCATTTGCATGATAGCAAGCTTTTTACCTCGTCAAAAGATGTACGGAGAAGTTTTTCATTATCTTCAGATCATGAGTGATCACTGTTGTAAAAATAGTAAGAAGGTAGAATGGAACTTATCGGTAATCATTTTTTAAATCGAATTTGCAGTACTGTGATGTTGTTGTAACAACTTGGAACTGGGAATTGTAGAGAGAATGAGGGTTGAGTCGTGCATTTGGTCACTCTCCTTAAAACTGCATTTGCCCTCTATGGTGCAACCGGATGATCACAAATTGGTTGCCAAGATAAAACAGCCCATAGGCTTATGGTAGGCATGCACTCACTTACCGGACCTCCGCGAACCACAAAAGAAATTATGCTCAAATTTCACAGACAAAATAGAGAAGAAGAATGTTGAAACTGTTGTGTGTTGACTGGGTCGGCCAAAACTCTTCTTATAGAGTGCTCTCAGACCTGAATGGACACAGATGTGTCCTTTCAGACAGGAGCCTCTTCAGAACAGTGCACCTGTTTGAAGATGCACAAGGAGGAAGAAGAGACATGAACAGAAGAAGAATGTTTTTCATTTAAAAATAAATTCGAAAATTCGAACAAACACCTGTTCGAACAAACACAAAACATTAAGATTGAAATTCAAATCTGGTAAAAAGAAAAAATGATTCGATGTAATGCACGTACATGTACACGCACCTGYGCCCTCGCCCACGCCCCAACCCGACTTGGTCCGTCCTGGCCTAGCTCGGCTCGGCTCGGCACGCACGTATGAAAAGCACCCCCAACCTCCCCTACCTTCACATTAATGGGATATCTATAGTGCTCTCCTCCTATGGATCCCTACCCATAGAGAGAGCAAAGCTACAAATATCCTCAACTTCCACTCCTTTCCCAAGCAATGTGGGATAAGGAGTCTTCCCATGCACTCAAGGGTGGGAAGAGGAAAAAACAAAAAACAAGATGGATGAGAGAGATTCTTGAAAATTTAAATCTCCCTCCAACAGTCCCCACAAGATTCAAAATTACAAGAAGATCGAACAATCTGAGTATCGTAGCGAGAACAGTATTCATGGTGATGTCTTTTGGACTTCAATCAATACTTAGGTATGACAGGCTATGTTACAGAGTATGGGTGGAGTCAGACTCCTTCAACCTTTCCTCCTTATCGTAACTACCTAACCGGCCAATCAACTTAACTCACCAGTTCTTTAGTGGTTCTTTTGTTTTGGAACATTTCGGCCTTGTTCCCCTCTTGGAATCATGAGTGTTTTAGAGAGTCAGCCCTAAATCTCTCTTAGAAGTGACCACACTTCACACTCACTTAGGTCAGTTATTAGTGTGCACTGCACACACCATTCTTAATTGATTAAGAGTCACATGCTCAACATCCTCAAACTATAGTGAACATTATCTTACCTCGGCATTTGAAATGAGACACAAATTGATAGTGCTTTCCCAAGTCTTCTAACGACTCGTTTTTACCCATTCAACCTAATTCCAGGGATCTCCTTTCACATAGGTTGGGTGTCCATCACTAATGACTTTGTAACAGGCTTCAGCCCCATTCCTACCGATGCCTCATAAACCACCTTAGAAATTTGTGGTTTGGTTAACGAATCTACAAGGTTCTTTTCAGACCTTACAAAATCCAGAGCGATTGTACATTTGCTGAAGTATTGTCTCATCAGGTTATGCCTTAAGCGGATATGCCTTCTTTTACCGTTGTACRTCTAGCTCTTGGCTCTAGCTATTGCTGCTTAGCTATCACAATGGAGAGATATGGACGGAATCGGCCGCGGCCAAAGTGGTATATCTGTCATCAAGTTCCTTATCCATTCTGCATTGGACCCCGCCAATTCTAGTGCAATGAATTCGTCTTCATTGTTGAACTTGTATTGCATGAATGCTTTACCGATTTCCACGATACTACTCATCCACCTAGAGTAAGTACATATCCACTGGTGGAAGTACTATCCTTTGAATCTGAAATCCAATTCGCATTAGTAAAGCCCTCTAAAACAGGAGGAAAACCTGAGTACCGTAAACCAAAATTTATGGTTCCTTTTAAATATTTTAATAATCTTATTAGAGCATCCCAATGTTCACTTCTAGGATTATGAGTATGTTGACTTAATTTTCCCATAGCTATAGTTATGTCCGATCTTGTACAGTTCATTAAGTAAGATACAGATCCAATTATACTTGCATACTCCTTTTGTGAAATAGATTCTCCTACATATTTCCTTAAGTGAATACTACAGTCAAGAAGTGTTTTAACCRGTTTACAATCATAGTGTCCAAATTTCCTAAGGATACTTTTTACATAATGTGATTGGGAGAAAATAAAATTTCTTTGTTCTTTATAGATTTTAATCCTCAAGATTATATCAGCCTCACCTAAGTCCTTAGTATCAAATTTGGACATTAGAAATTGTTTTGTTTCTTTTACTACCTCTAGACTAGTTCTCATTATTAGCATATCATCAACTTATAAACAGATCATGACTCCTTTATTATTTTCAAATTTGCTATAGACACTTCTATCAGAATCATTTCTCTATATCTATTATTTACTAACACATTATCAAATTTTTCATGCCATTGTTTGGGAGCTTGTTTTAAGTCATACAGAGACTTAATTAATTTACATACTTTATTTTCTTGTCCTGGCATTATGAAGCTTTCAGGTTTCCTAATGTAAATTTTTTCCTCTAATTCTCCATTTAAGAAAGTCATTTTTACATCCATTTGATGAACTACCAGTTTGTAAATTGATGTTATAGCAAACAAAACCCTCATTGTTGTTAATCTTGCAACTGGGGAGTAGGTGTCAAAGAAGTTTACATCTTTCTTTTGTCTAAACCCCTTAAGAACTAATCTGTCTTTGAATTTATCTATTGTGCCATTTGATTTTAGTTTTTTCTTAAAAATCCACTTACAATCTAATGCCTTAGTTCCAAGTGAGAGATCTACAAGTTCCCAGGTGTGATTAATGACTAAAGAGTCTATTTCACTTTTTTATGGCTTCTTTCTAAAATACTGCATTAGGTGAAGTTTAGCTTTCTAATAGGTTATTAGGTCCTTGTCCACAAAAAATGTGAACATTCCGTCACCCAAGTTTGTTTCTCTTCTTTGTCTTTTACTTCTCCTTAAGTCTGGTTCTTGCCTAAGTGATGTACTAACTCCTTGAGCACCTACTTGTTCTTCGTTTCTAATTTGGTGTTGGGAAAGTTCCCTATTTATTGTTTCTTTTCTCTAAGATGTGTTCAAAGAACTCTGTATCTCGGGACTCTATTATTGTGTTATTTTCGACAACATTATCAATTGTTTTAATTACAAGAAACCAATAAATTGCATTGCTTTGTGCATATCCAATGAACACATAGTCACAGATTTTCGGTCCTAACTTCTTTCTTTTAGGTTTAGGTATTCCAACATTTGCTAGGCAGCCCCCAAACTTTTAGATAGTTCAAACTAGGTTTTCTGTTATGCCAAAGTTCAAAGGGCATTTGTCCTTTCTTCTTGGGTGGCATTCTATTATATAGGTGACAAGCCATTAGGATTGCTTCCCCCCACAAATTCAGAGGTGCACCTRAACTAATTAGCATTGCATTCATCATTTCCTTTAATGTTATGTTCAATCTTTCTACAACTCCATTACATTCAGGTTGATAGGGAGTTGTGGTTTCATGTATGATTCTATTTTCTTCAAAGAATTTTCTAATGGTTTATTCATCATAATCAATTCCTCTATCTGTTCTAAGTCTTTTTATTTTCTTTCCTAACTAATTTTCTACTTCAGTTTTGTAGTTTATGAAAGCTTGATCAGCCTCGTCTTTTGATCTAAGTAGAACTACTTTTGGCTATCTAGAGAAGTCATCTATAAAGGTTATATAGTATCTTTTCTTCCTCTAGCTTCATGACATTTAAGGTTTCCTAGATCACTGTGTATAAGTTGTAACAATTCAGCTTCTCTTTGTACACTTTTATGAGGTTTCTTAGTAAATTTTGCTTTTACACATACATGGCATTTTTCATTTATAAAATTAATAGGAATATTCAAAATTCCTAATTTACATAATCATTTTAAATAAGGAGCACTACGATGTCCTAGTCTAGCATGCCAAATATCAAAAGATTCAACAATATAAGCAGAAAAAGAAGCAGTTTTATTCATAATAATATAAAAAATATTCAGTACAAACAATCCTCTTGCATTGTATCATTTTCCAATAAATACATTATTTTTAGTCAACACAATCTTGTTTGCTTCAAATGTGAGTTCCAGTCCTACTTTTTTTAGGAGTGTTCCCAATACCAACTTCAGTTGGATCTCTAGCAGGTGCAACTCATCATTCAACATTAGAATTTTTCTTGAAGTCAGTTTTAGAAGCACATTTTCTTTGTCGATGACCTTCGAAGTTTGTGAGTTTCCCATGAATACTTGCTCTCCTTCAGTCTGAGTTGTATACTCATAGAATGAACTATGGTCCCCACAAATGTGCTTGGTAGCACCAGTATCCAGTACCCACTCCTTCGGCTTATCAACTAAGTTTACCTCAATTACCATGGTTGCGATAACATCCTCAGTCAAATTGACTTTCGGTTTTCCAAAGTCCTTTCGGTACCAGCAATCCTTCTTGTAATGTTCGCGTTTGCCACATACATAGCAATTTCCTTTCTTTTGTTGCTTCTTGAATTTCTGATCATTTTTCACATTCAAGTTCTTTTTGAATTTTGCAGTCTTTTCCTCCACCAGATTGGTTTTGGAAAACTGGTCCTCATCTTTATTTCTATTCTTTTCTTCTGTCTTAATTCGGACCACTTCTTGGTCCAAAGTAGTGTCTTTCCTCTTATGCTTCATACTGGTTTTGAAATCATTCCATGTATGTGGCAGTTTCTCTATGAGAGAATCGGCAATGAATTCATCCGGCAGTACCATGCCTTCCTTTGCTAGTTCCAAAACAAGAACCTGGAACTCATCTATTTGGGCAGACACGTCCATGTCTTCTTTCAAGGTGAAGTGTAGGAAGTTAGCAATGACATATTTCTTGTTTCCAGCATTTTCTAGAACATACTTAGTGTCCAATGCATTCCAGATTTCATAGGCATAATTGTAGGAAGAATAAACATTGTACAATTCATTGGGCAAGCAGTTTAGGATATGGTTGGTGTAGAGGTGGTCAGCTGTAGTCCAATGTTCTACATTAACAGAACAGGCTGGTTCCTCCATGTTTAGTAGGTTTGGTTTTGTCAAGGAAAAAGCTACCCCTAATTGCTCTAAGGCAAGCAACAGGCATTGTCTCCAACGCTTGTAGTTGGTTCCATTGAAGGGTTCAATCTTAGAGAAATCGGGAATTGTTCCGGTTCCTCATGAAGGGGTAAGCAGAGATAGGTTCCATAAATGCGGTTTTAAGATTGTTGTAAAAATAGTAAAAAGGCATAATGGAACTTATCGGTAATCGCTTTTCAAACCGAACTTGCAGTGTTGTGATGTTGTTGCAGCAACTCGGAACTGGGAATTGCAGGGAGAAGGAGGGCTAAGTCGTGCCACTTGGTCACTCTCCTTAAAACCGCATTTGCCCCCTACGGTGCAGTCGGGTGATCGCAAATTGGTCGCTAAGATAAAACAGCCCACAGGCTTATGGTAGGCGTGCACTCGCTTACCAGACCTCTGCAAACCACAAAAGAGATGATGCTCAGATTTCACAGATAGAACAGAGAAAAAGAATATCGAAACTGTTGTGTGTTGACTGGGTCAACTAGCACTCTTCTTTTAGAGTGCTCTCAGACCCGAATGGATAAGAGGGAAGACAAATTCTTGAAAATTTGAATCTCCCTCCAACAATCATTCGCATCAAATTGGCTATGGGCTGTCTGACCACCTATATCCCATGCATATGCTATTTGTCAATGACTTGATGATATTTGGGAAAGCCACGATAGCAGAACTTAGCATTGTTAAGGATGCATTACATTGTTTGGGTTGATGAGCTCGGGACAGGAGGTAAATTACGGGAAGTCTGCTGGGATTTTCCTCGGTAAAAATATCCATCATCGCATATGTAACATGTTGATACGTTTCCTGCATGTGAAATGTATTTCACACAAGAAGAAGTAAGAAGGTTTTGCTCTCTTCTATTGTGCATAGAGTCAAGAGTCGATTAGACTTTAGAGGGTTGGAACTTGGAAGGCTCTCCCTTTCTCTGGCTGGACAAGCGACGTTAATTAACTGTTTCTTCGGTCGTATCTTCGTGTGCACCTTTTCTTATGGAAGCTCTTGTAAGGGGTTGCAACTCTCAAGACAAGAAATTAACTGTTTCTTTGTGAACCTGACAATATGTGTCCATTTGGTAATTGTGTTGCGGTTGAATCCCTAGAACACCTTTTTCTGGCATATTGTCATATTTCACAAGCAGTTTGGTTTGGCTCTCACAACTTTTTTTGAGGACGTACAGATCATATTTCACATTCCATTGTTTCAGAGTGGATCCGTAGTTACATTATGGATTTGCGTCTAAAGGATGCTAATCAGATGCATGTTTTGATACGTCTTTCCACGATTTTGTGAATAATCCGGGACGCTAGAAATAAAGCTTGTTTCACAAACATAACGGTGACACATGTTCAGTTACTGAACTCCACCAGGGTGTTTTGTGCAGATTGGATGAAGGTTAGGCATCTTGAGGAGCTGTCTACTGCCATATGGCTACATATCTTATAATTGCTAATCAAGTTACTTGGTTTCATTCCTAACCAGCACTTAGTATTCTATGAGCTCAAACTAAGAGAAGGATTGGAGATCATTTTGACACTAGCAGAATTAGAGGCTTTTAGGGTACATAGTTTGCAACATGGAGTTGTCTGTGGTTATTTTCCTCTGAGACATTTCTTTTTTTTTCATATTTTGTCTTGCCATGCCAAAGAATCCAATAAGTCAATTAGTTACAACAACTTTCTCTGGGACAAAGATAATGGTAAAAATTCTATTCATCTTCTTAATCGGAAAAAAGTATGTACTCAACGAGGTAAGGGTGGTTTAGGGGTGAAGAATCTCAAGTGGACAAATGAAGCTAGCTTGGCCAAGCTTGGATGAAAAATTCTTAACGAAGAAGATAACATCTGGGTTAAAGTGGTTAAAGGAAAATATTTAAGGAAGGAGAGTCTGTGGGAGAGTAAGAAAAGGAAAGGAATCTTGTGGGCTTGGAGAGGAGTTCTTTGTGCTAGAGATCTTCCGAAAAGGGGTCTCAGACGGGATCTTGATAATGGTAACTCAATTAAATTCTGAACAGATAATTAGGTGGAGGTTGGTCCCCTATTGAGGTATCTCCCTAACTCTGAGATTATCAACAAAGAAGATTTTGTAAGTGATTATATTGACAAGGAGAGAGGGGTTTGGATGGAGGAAAACATTCGTAACTTAGTCCCATTGAACATCTGGAACAAAATTAAAGCTGTCTACATTCTGTGGGACGGTGTACAAGATAGATTGGTTTGGGGGTTAACTCCAAGTGGTTCCTTTACCATGAGATTGGCTTATGACTTGTTAGGTAGCAGTAATTCTCTTAGTGAGACTCCTTTGAACTCGGTCTCAACTGAGGGGATGAGAGATCCATCCTATGGACGCCCAAAGATTGCGGAATAAGGGGCGAATTTCAAAAATTTTTCTCTCCCTTCAATTAGGAATTGTATTCCCTATTTAGAAAATCATATTTTCAAGGATCAATCTTGAACCATAAACTGAACCAGATCTGAACCAAAAAGGAGTGGGAAGGATTAT